TAAAAGGCCATTTAGATAATAAAAAATAGCTTTCACAGAAGCTACCACTAAAGAAAGAAAGTTTGAGAATCTTCCTACAGGCCAAAATAAAATATTGACTCCACTATCCCACTGATGTCGCAGAGGTCAATCTGCAAACCACTCGTTCCTCTGCTAAACTGTTACGGAGTGTAGGACGCTTTTAGGGACTAGGACTATTGTTGTAATAGACAGTGCAGAAAAACAGAAAAGTTCCTGTAACAATTTGGGTGGTGAAAGACAATTAATCTGGCAGCTGCTAAAAAATACAGCTATTTCTGGCCCATGTAAGCCGACCCATTCAGCTATCTGGAAGAGTGTGAACGCTTGGGCTCAGGGTATCAGAAACCATGCAGAAGGATTCCTGTGAAGGAAGCCCACCAGCTAACAGCAAAACAGTGTCTCACAACAGGAAGTAGGCAAAGGAAGAGATTATTTGAGGTTACTGTGATCTATGCATGGATCATGCAGAACTACAGCACACAGGAAAAGCTGCAAAACATTCAGAGCATGACTGCCAATAGGCAGGAGGTGCAAATAAAGGACAAAAAATTAATCATACATGTAAAAGGGGAGAGGCAACTTTACTGCTGTCAAAATGAAGTTCATCTTTGTGATTAATACAGCCTACTCGAACTGTTGCATGCCATGGAGCTTCCCTCACATTTAAGGTGACTGATTAGAGCACCAGAGACTTCTGATACTGACACTGGTGTTTTCATCTCTGACCTTAGTTTCTATCTTCTTTTCCAACTAATACTTCTTTATTAATCTCAGTCTTTACTCCTCTAAATATCTGTAAAAGTTTTAAGTCCCCTGGCTTGTTGTTCATCTCCACTGTGTATAATGAACAGTTTTAAACTTTCATGCTTATTGTGATCATGGACCTTCAATCAATGAATCATGAATCCAAGATGCTGGACATGAATGTCACAGATGCAGTTTTATAAAACCAGTTATTTCCCTTTCTTCCTATCTACACACTTCAGCAGTTGAAGATATCAAGTATTTATATCTGTAAAGTACTTCTGCAGGATGTCATACCAACAATGGAAATGCATCAGGCAGCACATCCTTCACTTGCTATGGAAGCAAAGCACATTTTAACTGTTTCCATACCCTGTTAATGACTCAGTCTAGCATACAAAACTATAATAATTTTTACTTTTCATTTCTGTTAATGTATACTAACAGCACATAGGAGCACCATCAAAGACCAAAGACATTTATGCTAGTCAGCTCAAGAACATAAAATTGCAAAATGAATGCCTGTGTTTGTGGACCTAAGCTGCAGCACCCTACCTGATAGCCACATGTCACACAGATCAATATGCTGTTCTTTATTATCAGATGCATCTGACTTTTTCCAAGGTACAAACTCAGGAGTGCCATGTGGCTCCTTCAGGGTGATTACAATATTACTGTTGCTCAAAACAGTCCTGATATGAAGTACCAAGTACATTTTCGTGGAAAGAAGCCTCAAATACAGATACAGTTAAAGGCTTCGCTACTACTGCAAAACTTAGCTTCTCAGTTGGGATTACAAATTTACTTGAGTAGTCTTCAACACAACCATAAAATTAATAGGCTGATCTTGAAATTTAGAATTGTGTTGTCTCATTTCTGACATTGAGCTATGCAGGCAGGGCTCTTGCAGCACAACTGAAGCCTCACAGACTGCTTCAGTAGAAAAACATAATACACCATAGTTATAAGGATATGATTAAAAAGCTTTAAAATGATATGAAAGCCACAGATTTTTTTCAAACAAATTTTATGAATACTTTAATAGCTCTTAGCAGCCAATTAATTAGAACACTTAGGATGGCTCTATCAAACAAAAAAGGCAACAACGACAACAACAAAAAGCAAGACTATTAACCAGGACAACTGTAGCAGAACTCTAATGTTAAAATATTAAAAGTCTATCTGCTACTGAAATACAATACCTACTTGAGTAAAACAACCAGAGTACATGCAATTTGTTGTCTGTTCTGAATAAGGCTGTTGCTAATCCCTGTTGTAGGAGGGATTGAGTCTAAACTGGGTGGGGAGGACGGGATGTGACAACAAAAACCAAGCAATGGTAATTTCAAGCTCAATAAATAATGGCCTTACTGTGCCTGGGCTTTAACACCTATGTCCCAACAGCAGATTAAAGTGGAATATCAGCATCTGATGGGAGAAGCAATTTCCAGTGCTCTGTCCTTCACATGATCCCCAAAATGACCAGACCTCATAGGTCAGGACTAAGTTAACAACACCTTGCTTCCGCTAAACTTCTGATGACCAAGCACTAGTGAGAAAGGACCCATATCACATCAGCAAAATTTAATTTTTCCTGGCAGGCTTTAATGCAGGCTCTGCTCTGTTCCCATCATGAGCAAATAACTGAGTCCGAAAAAAGTGCAATGTACAGGGGTTTGGGGTTTTTGCTAATGAAGCAACTTCACACCTCACCATATTCCCACTGTGCTTAGCTGTGCTGACAGACACATACCATGGGTTTTGCAAGAGGAAGTTTTGAACTTGTGGAGTGAATGAATCCTTGTATAGGTGAGCAGAAACTTGACCTCCTGATTATAGTGAAGAAGTCACACCTTATGCACACTTGGGACATCATCCGTGGACCACGTTCCTTCATGCTTTGGTACAAGTCTTATCCACCCAAACAGAGAAGCAGCTCAACGGAAAGGCTTTCAATCAAATATTAAGCCTATTTATTATAAATACGTGGCTGCAGTTGTGAACACAAATTGGCACCACGTTGTAGTAACTTCAGGGGACTGAAGTTCAGCTCTTTTGTCTAGATCAGCTGAGTGGAAACAGCAAGGAAAGTGCAAAAAGCCAGGACAAACTTGCGGCTGAAATATATTTGCCAATACAGCTTGCTAAGTAAAAAGACATTCTCTTCTACTCTCCTGACTTGGATTATCAAGTCTAAACCAAGAAACGATGGTTACAGAAAGTTGTTTCCTTGTTTACATTTTTAATCTGTTCAGAGGGAAGAAAAAAAAAAAAAAAGCTTTATTTGTTTCAAAATGTCCAGGAACAAAGCAGTAGTAACTAAACTTTTCTGCTTGTTGCTAGAGTATGTTGTGGGTGCCAGATGTACAAGTTTCCAAATGCAGTCCTAGGAATGTGACTCAGTTTTAACTAAATGCAATCACTTCCATGAGAAGGAATGTTTCAGTTGTACAGACTCATTGACATCCTCATCTGACCTCCGCTCTCACTGCTCAAACTGCCAGGTACTGATGGATGTGATGGATTTCTCCACCAGCAAATCAGATGGTTATGTACATCCACAACTCAATAGCTACCTGTTAATGGTAATGACTCTCTACCACCACTGATCCAGTCTTTCTTTATTTGGAGAAAAAAAAAACCAAACATTACCCAGCTTTTTCAAGAAAGTGTATGTGTATGTGCTGTTAGAGTACTTGAGAATAAGAAATGCAGCACAGTGTTTGAGATGAGCCTTTAAGAAGTAGCAAAACAGAATCACCACTCTAAACTAGCTTTTGGCTAGTCCTTTTAACTTTATTGTAACGGTATGCAACCTATGAAAATCAAATCTAACATTCATCCTGGTAATTAAACACATTTTCCTCTCCACTATGATACAGAACTTTACTGAATACCTAATTAAAACATGTAAAATAAACTCTGATAACAGCTGAGCTCCCTTGGGCAACTAAAATCTCTCAGCTTTTACCATAAGAAGCCAACTCACACATTTCTTCTGTATATTCTGTGACCAAAGTACTGGTTTTGGAAGAGATTGTACATGGCTATGGAATGACAAACCAGCACCCAGTGTCTTCTGAGGCCTGTACCCATGGCACAGGATACAGATATGTTTATAAACTATTCTCCTATCTTGCTCTTGTATCAAATAACAGCACTCTTTTTTTTTCATGGCAATGCAAGACTATGCTAAGTGTTCCAATACTTCAAGCAACAAAACCAAACTCTTATATTGAATAATAAAAGGATATTTTGTTAAAGCACTAACCGTTCTTTCCCAATGAAACTGCCTAGGATCAGTGTATTTTAGTTTTTTCTTGCTAGTGAAGTTTACAGTTGGGAAAATCCCACTGCAGAACTGGTTCTTTGCTGACTTCCTTTAAAAACTTTAACTAATGTAGGTCACAAAAGAAACACATATAGGTAGCGACACACAATAAAAAAATTCCTAGTTGGAATAATAGTTAGTGCTTCTGTAGAAAAAAAAAAATGCACCCAATGATCTCCAAATGGTTCTGAAAGAAATTCATTAATTAAGCCTCTCAACACCCGGGCGAGTGAATTTATCTGTTTTACGAGGGAAGAAGCAGAGATGTGGAGAGGTGGGGCGACTTGCCCAAGGCTACCCAGCAAGAGTCTTTCAGAGCAATAAGCAGAATCTGAATTATTGATTCCCATTGCTGCCCTTCAGTTGCATTGTTCCCTTCTTGAAATACTGCGCTGAGTTACAATAATTGCTGGCAAGATAAACGTGATGTGGCAATCCTTAGCGGAGATTTGCTTTGCCTTTGTTTAGGCTACATTAAAACCTTAGCGTTAAACTGCAATTGGTTTTCTCAGGGTGACCAAAACCCCCCAGCCGCTTGAGCAACATTTCCCCTATTTCATTCACAGCTGTAGCCACTTCTTACGCTGTCAGTGCTCACGTCCAGCAAGGCAGCAGCTCCAGCTTGAAAAAAAAAAAAAAAAAAAAAAGGCAGGAAAACGTCGCAGCTTTACATTTTTTGGAGGTCAGCGAAGCGTCTGCATGCACGGATGTCAACGTGAGAGCCAGCGGAGGGGCCGGCTGGGCACCACGAGTTACAGCAGCGACTTCCCCAGCAAAATAAAATAAATAAACAAAAAAATAAATAAAAAAGAAGGAGGAGGAGGAAAGCGGCAGGAAGTCGCACGGGGCAAATCCCCCTTTTCCTGCCCCTCGGCTTCCCCAAGCGCCAGACACGGGTGCCTACCTTCCACGGGAGCGGGGGCTCAACTCATCGGCGGTGCTCCGGGGGGCACGGGCAGGTGAAGCCGCTGCTCCCCAGGACTGGGACTGGGACTGGGACTAGGACTAGGACCGGGACCGGGACCGGGACCCACTCACCCCAGCCTGGCCCGCCCCGGCTCGGCTTTGCTCAGGCTCCTCAGCCACGGCTTCTCCCCCGGGGGACAAGGCGGGGGGACGGGATGGGGGTGCGTTTTTCAACTCAGGAAGAAAGTAGCTCCCCCTTCCCCCTCCACCCCGCCCTCCGCCCGCCTTCCTTACCTCTCCCAGTCCTCCTCCTCCTCCTCCTCCTCCCCCTCTTTCCCCTCCCTCCCCCCGGCGGCCCCTCAAGCCGTGGCAGCGCCGCAGCCCCGCTGTGCCCCCACCAGGTTCGGGGAGCTCCTGGCCCCCTCCTGCTTCCCCCACCCCGGCGGGACCGAGGTGGGGAGAGCCGTCAGCGAAAAGCAAAAATATAAATAAATAAATATATAAATAAATAAATAAACGAAAAGGAAATACGCGCCCGCCCCCCCCCCGACACCGAGTGTCGGCGGTGTGGTTTAGCGCAGAGATTGATGAAACCATCCGGGATGATCCAGCCGATACCCGTCTCTTACCGTGCTGTGCGCTGGGACCTCCCATGCGGAAAGTTCCCACAAGGCAGCGAAGAAACAAAAAGGCAATTTGCTAATCTGCTCCCCTAAGTATGGTGGGGCTATTTATATAAATGTTTCCCGTGTAAAGCAGAAATGCGAAACGCCAGGACCGTTCAAGCCAATCATCCTAACCTTTTTCAAGATACCTAGGAAAGTAATGCAAAAGAAGACAAAACAAATGATCCTTTGGAACAGTCGTTTATGCTTTCTTGGTCACTGTAACCAGGAAAAAGTATGAAACAAAGGATTTCAAATGTTTGTTGGCTTCAGAAAACTGAGCACGCTTTGTCATCCTCAGACTATTGGACTGGGATCAAAATAAAAATATTTACATGTGATATGGGTTGGGATGCAGTCCAGGTACCTGAGGTTTAGATTTCCCAAAGCTTATTCTTTATTTTAAGTTAGCTTACTGGTGCTACTGAGTCACTCAATGGCCTATAAGTGCTCAGTTCCCCTGCTCTGACAGCGTTAAACTGCATTTTCTGAGAGGGGGATTTTAAACAGGATCTTCATGGTTTACAGCAGTGTGATTTCCTCCTGTTCTATAAAGATCAGTAAACATGTAGAAACTAGGCAAAACTAGAAACTATACATTTATTTTAATTCTTCTGTTGTATTTTCCAGAAGTATCTATTGACAGTCATCGCATAAGGAATAGGGATCTGCAAACTCAGAGCAGTGCCAGAGCCTGGAATGAAGCCTCACTTTTTACCAGTAATGACATGCCTAAAAGCACAAAGTGCTTTGGTTTCAGTCATGCAAACACCAGATTAATCATTAGAATATATGTTTCTAAACACCTATTTGAATAGTATTGTGCTATTGCATTGACACTGCGGTTGTAAAATATCGATGTTGTGACATGCATGAGCACGAGGAGAGTTGCAAACACCGCCAGATGTGGCTCAGAGGGAAATTTGGCTGGAATTTCTGAAATTATCAGGATGCCTAAAATGACGAGGAGGGAGGTGTCTACGTACTGGTTGTACAACTGCATCATAAGGTATTTAAATGCACTGAGTATCTGATGCTAAGTAATACGGAATTAGACCTTGCACTTCTGAACAGCATAATTTGAAATCCTGGCCTTAGTCTGTGGTTGTGCCTGTTTGTATTTCAGAGAAACTGCACTGTGCTGCTTTGTCCCGACTGAATACCTGGGCAAAGCACACTGCAGATCCCATGTAGGCTGTGCAGTCAGGTTTCTTTCCCATAGAGGATGTGTTGGGCTGTGCTTGGGTCCTGTTCTAATGTGGAATTAGACAGTGGTGGATGTCCATGTGTGAAGTGGAGAGTCCCAAAGCCTCTCTGCCTTATGTCTCCTTGTGTAAAATGGGGCTTGTGTAAAAAGAGAGCAAGATATTTCCATTCTAGTTTAATTTCATCATTGCCACTAATAATTTTCTGTTTACATCCAGTAAACAGATGCTGTTTACTTCACCATCACCCCTACAATCAGGAAAGGTTTATTGCAGCATTTCTTAAGAATTTGTGAATTTTCCATTCATTTGTGTATAAACAGAAGAATTATTTATAAGACTCAGGAAAAAAATCCTTCTACCCTAAACAAATAAAGCCTTAGCTGGATAACTGTATTCTGTTTCAGCCACCACACTTTATTTAAGATATGGACCATGTGGAGAGAGGAGAGAAATGAGAAAGATCCCAGGTCTAGCGAGCATTATGTACACAGGAAGACTGGAAAAAATATCCTAAGGATGAGAATCTGACTGGAAGAAGATATGACAACAACCTTCAGCTACATAAAAGCTGCTGAAGAGAATAATCTCTTATCCACATCCTCTGGGAGCAGTGTGTGTGTTGCTGTAAGAGAAATTTAATTTAAATGGGAAAAACAACAACAACAAAAGTATCTGTAAGTGTAAATAAAAGTTAAACTAGCAGGAATAAATGGCATTGCTGTCGCTGAAGGCTTTTTAAGAGCAGTTCAACATGTACTTAACAGGAATAGTTCAGGTCTAGAAAGTCTGATGGAGCTTTCCTTTAATAACAAGGTCATGACCACATGACCTGCAGGGTCCTTCCCAGTCCCACTCTGTATGATTATGTTCAAACTGCAACTTGCATAGGCACGTTTGTGATCTCTGATCTTCCTATGTGTACTGGCTGGAACGTTAACTTTCCCTGCAGCAGCCCATACAGTGCTGTGCCCTGCACTTGTAGCTAGAACAGCAGTGCTATCACACCAGTGTTGTGTCTGCTGCTGAGCAGTGCTGGCACAGCATCAGGACTCTCTCTAACCCTCCTAAGGGGTGGGCAAAAAAGTGAGAAGAGAAACATCACCGGCGCAGCTGACTTCAACCAACCAAAGGGATATTCCATACCATGTGATGTCACACTCAGCAATAAAAGGTGGAAACAGGAAGAAGAGGAGAGGGGTGGGCTCTTGTAGTGAAAACATTAGTCCTCCTCCCGAACACCGGCTACATTGAGTTGAGGCCCTGCTTCAAGGATGTGGTCAAGCATCGCTCATTTGTGGGAAGTAGAGGGTAATTTCTTTCCTCTGCACTTCCACATAGCCTTTATTTTTATTTTATTTTATTTATTTATTTATTTATTTTTCCCTTTCCACCTCCCTTATCCCCTTTCTCTTTTTTTCCCCTTTAGTTAATTTTTTTAGTTAATAATAATCTTTCCTTAATAATAACAATTATTATTATTATTTCCCTTTAATTAAATTATCTTCATCTCAACCCGTGAGTTGTTCTTTACTTTACTTCTTCCCCTCCTCATCTAAGGAGGGGGAGTGAGAGAGCGGTTGTGGTGTTTAGCTGCCTAGCACGGTAAAACCACCACACTATGCCCTTCACTTCTATAGCAGTGGCTATAACCTGCCCTGCTAAGGCTGGGTGTGCCAGCCTTGCCACATACCAGTGAATTTGTTGCTGAGAGCAGAAAGGAGAAAATGATAAAACGATATATCTATGGACAATAGATATATCTATATCAAGATAATTTATCTATGTCAATTAAATGATTGTAAAACAATTAAACAATAAAGCTTCTGGAACATAAATTCTGGCTGATATATATCTAACCCTTCCTTAAACATTAAATGTGTTATGTGCTTTTGTTCTATGGTTGGCCAATAAACCACCTCTGATGTAGTCACATTAGGCTCCCTTTATAACTGCAGAGAAAAGTAAGTACTTTTTGAACAGAATTTGTCTGACCTGTTTAGGACATCTTTAGGACATGATGAATCACGCCCCCGAGCTACTTATTCTTACCACCAACACTAAAGTTGGCTTAAATGATTGACTCAGTAACATATCATCATACGATTTTCACTCTCATGGTACTTCTGTCCCTGAAGTAGTCTCGCTCCCTCTCTGCTCTCAGATATCAGAAACCCTTATTGTTTATTCCTTTCTCCTTCTCCTTCTCTTCTCAGAAAAAATCCCACTGCAATTAATAAATTTTGTAGCTATCATTTCCTTAAGTTACATCATGCAACAGTGAAACATATAGCAAATTGACATTTCAGGTGGCATTGCTCCATAAAGGATTTAGGAGAGGAGTTATATTTACCTTTTAGAGCTGAAGACTATTGACTTGGCTAGTTCTGCAGTGCATGTCCCATGGAAATTGTTTGAAAACCCTTCAGGTCAGAGACGGTTTTGCTCGTACGTCACATGCTCTTTATTTATTTTTCCTTGGCCTTTATGACAAGCAACGTTACTAGGAACAGGAAATGCCTGGTGCCTTAGAGAATGAGCCAAATGTACATGGTAGAGGTAGCTCCATTCCAGGAATGACAGGCTTTTTTTGGTGAACACACAGAGAAGTCACTGTCTTAGACGCGTAAGCATGAAATGTAAGTCTTCCAAAAGTCCACCAGTGATTTTGACATCTATCCTTTTTCCCCTCAGAGTAAATGTTTGAGAAGTGACAGTTTCCAAGATGACCCTGTGGACAGCTGGCTTAGAGCCCAGAGAGAAGGGGAAAGGTGCTGGGTGCAGACAAGGAAGGAACGCTTTATTTCACTGCTGCATTGCCCAGGAGGATACAAAAGGGCAGCAACCCCCAGTGCTGTGCTACAGCAGCGAGAAAGGGAGATAGCAGGGTGGCATGAAGCCAGTGATGGAGGGCCCAACCTTTATGGAGGAGACATGAAATACCTGCTGATGATTTGTACATTTTAAAGCCTTTGGTTCCTACTTAGTTGTGAAAATGTGGGGACGTTGCTTTTTTTAGGACTGAACGTGCTAGCTTACAGAGGGAAATTGTATGTCTTTCTGTCTGTTTCACATACACAGTCTTGGCCATTTTTACCTTTCTTCCTTCCAAGCCTACGCAACAGCAAGTCTTCTCCTTTTATTATTATATAAACACTTCTCCTGTTTTTCTTTTCTTTTCTTTTCTTTTTTTTTTAAGTACCTCCCTCTCTATGAAGTCCTATTCTGTGTGATGTGTTTAGTCCCTAATTTCCATGTAAGAGACACTTCTACTTTTCTTATTAAGTGACAAAACTCTTCAAATGAAAAGAGAGAAAAATACAAAATTCTCCAGATTCTTTCACTAATTCCCCAAAACAATTGATTTTCCTATAACTGTAACCCTTGTGTTCCCTTCTGCTCTCATGTT